TCTGGCACAGTCATGACTTTTTTGAGTGTATAGCGAATATGACAACACACAAGCCCGGGTAGCACATCTCCCAGCCTCCCAGGGCCAGGGGAACAGCCGCTACTGCCAGCAACGACCAGAAGGGCATACCTAAGAGATGTACGGTACCGGTAGGGGCATATGGAAAATTCTTGTGCCTGTACTGAATGGCTATCCGGTAGGGGCAAAATGGAAATTTGGTGCGGGTACCGGTAGGGGCATATTGAAAATGTCTCAGGCCCAAACGACGGCAGGGGTTTTTCGGAAACTTGAATGACTGTCAGAGGGGCAAATCAGGGTAAGTCGGCCGTCAGAGGGGTAAATCACAAATACACGCAAACTTCAGGGGCATTTCGAAAATTTTCCCTTTTTTTTTTTTCAACTTTTTCTTCAATGGATTCTAGCCGACTGGAAATTAACGAGGCAAAGAGGGAAAAAAAGGAGAAAAAACAAAGAACACTGACTAGTATCTTGTTTGCTTCCGATGTGTTTTTCTCCTCCCTCGAACATCGGTTCTTTTTGTTGGGCTGCAGCGACCGCTCACGGAGACGAGAAAGTTATGTCTCAGGCAGTGAAGTGGCTCCAGAAGGCCGCAGAGCAAGGCGATGCCTTGGCGCAGAATCAGTTGGGTGTGTGCTACGCCAAGGGGGAGGGAGTTCTCTCCAGAGACGAACTCAAGGCCGCCGAATGGTACAAGAAAGCGGCCGCGCAGGGCAATCCTGATGCCCAGTGTAACCTTGGGTACCTCCATTTCCATGGGATCGGCATGAAGAAGAATGAAGCCGAGGGTGTGCAGTGGTATAAGCTGGCGGCCACGCAGGGTCATTCTAGAGCGCAGACCCACTTGGGCTACTGCTATGAAAAGGGGGCAGGCGTGCCCAAAGACACAGCCCAAGCAGCGGCTTGTTACCTGAAGGCAGCAGAGAAGGGATATCCACAAGCACAACACAACCTTGCCTGGTGCTTTGAGAAGGGCATCGGCGTGCCGGTGGACTACGAGATGGCCGTCTTGTGGTACACGAAGGCGGCGATGCAAGGCTTCGCGGATTCGCAAAGCAACCTCGGAATGTCGTATCGCGATGGACAGGGAGTGGAGAAGGATCTGCAGAAGGCGGAAGAAT